CTTCAAGAAAAGGCTCATTTTTGCCATTTTCATGCGCGGACAAGTTCACATATGGGTTCCTCATGGCGAGAAGGTCCAAAAAGGTGAAAAACTGGAAGATGAAATTCTGCCGGGTCGCTGCCTTCAACATCGAACCAACTTTCGATTAGAAAACTGAATCTTCGTCTCTCAGACTAGCTGATTTGGATGAAACGAAACGCGCTTACCACTCGGTGAATAGAAGCGATCTGCACTTTCAAGTAAGCACATGCAAAATTTTCTCTGATAACCAACAGGGATGTAAACCGTATCATTCAGTCTTCTATGTTGCTACAACACCAAAAAATGCAGAGGTGATCTTTATTCAAATAATATTAGGAACAAATAGCTCATTACGGTAGAGGTGACAGAGATACAATCATCACAATCTGAACGAAAATCATATTGATTTGAAGTTTTTGTCGCATCCGTACTCTCTACCAACAAACATAATCCCGATCAAGATTCACTAAGCTAACAATAGTGTCACTGAGGAAGATAGAAATCACGACACAATAACAAATTTAACCGCGAAGTTTACTGCTGGGGTGGGGGAGGTGGAGGAGGTGGCGGAGCTGGTGCAGATAAGATCCTTGAAAGGTCCGTTTGTGGGGCTGGAGGTGGAGGAGGAGGTGGAGGCGGGAATCCACCCGTGGGCGGAGGTGGCGGTGGTGGAACTGGTAACGGCATCGATGTAGCGCCTCCATACCAACCTCTGAATTGAAAAGATGTAAAAGAGAATAAAGAAGAAAAAGTAGTAAAAGATCTATAATCGATGACTGTGATTGAACTCACCCTCTAAATGCCGCAGCTCCAGCTCCACGCGCTCCTCTAGCACCTGGACTAGCAAAGAATCCTTGCGGTTGGTAAGGATCAGCAGCAGTAGGTGGAGTCATTCCGTATGGAGGTCTCATGCCCGGTGGCGGAGGCATCATTCCCGTCATCATTGCATTCTGCTGAGCAGCTGTGCTCAAGTTGACTCTTATGACAGGCTGCTGACTGGTTAGTGCACCGCGAGGGAAGAAACTGGTAGTTCCTCTCTGCAATACACAAATTTTTACGAGATCAAGAAAAAAATCACGGGTAACTTACGGTTGCGCCACGGTACGCTGCTGCTCCACGGCCTCGAATAGAACCATCTGCATTGCGAGCTGGTCGTTCTCCAAGTTCTTCCATAAGCGCCGAGTATTCATCGTCCATACCACCATCTCCAGCAGCTTCTGCTCCTCCAGGTCGTGGGTTTTTACAATCACGTGCGATATGTCCAGCGCCTGACAACAAATGATCAAAAGAAGTGCATAAGATGGTAAAAGCTCAAAACTCACATCCGCAGGCCATGCACACTACTTTAGCGGTGACATTAGGTGCATCGGGGCATTCCCAAGTCTTGTGTTCGTCAGATCCGCAGTTGGAGCAACGAGCGCCACTTGAACAAGA